CACATAATTCATGAATATTTCATTTAAATTTCAAAATCCTGGCTAAGTCCCTGCTATAGCATGCATTGCATTATATATTTGCCGGCTTATCTAACTGTTGATTTTTAATATTATTATATTTTTAATGTGGTATGAAATTTGTTAGAAATTGATCGTCTCCGGTGATTGTCCATATAATATGAATAATGTTATCTATAGGCCTTTAGGTATACAGGACATAACGTTACTTTTTCAGGTCCCAAAAACACCCAAATTAATGAAAATTTAAATGAAATATTCATGAATTATGTGTTTGAGAAATCTATTATGTAAAGACAATCAAAATGCTACTTTGCGTTTTTCTCACAAATTCCCTCCATGCCTCTGCCCCTGGACCACCAAATTTCAAAAAGTCCAATTTTTAAAACCTGTTATTTCACTAAAATCGTTCCTACAATTATCACGAAATGCTATAATATGACATTTTTTTGCCCGCTCTTCTACCCGTTGATTTTTTAATATGTGCTACGAAATATGTTGGAAATTATCAGCTCCAGTGATTGCAGATTGATCCATGTCATCATTAGGCCTACAGATGTAAAGATCATGAAAAATTATGATTCCACAGTGGTGGATTTAAAGGGGGCAGGGGGAGAGCCTCTAAAATTATAAAAGAAATGGAGAAAAAAAGAAAAATCATAGGCCTAATTAAAGTTTGTCTGAGAGTGCCATTTCCGGCCATTTTGAGGTGCCATAATCATAAATTTTCTTACCTAAGCCCCAACCATGGTGGGGCTCAGGTGGTATTGACCATCTGTCGGTGCAAGTTCCTCCCTTCACCCCACCCTCTATTTCTCCTGCTTTACTGTTGGTCCCTAGACAATACTCAAATGAATGAAAATTGAAATAGGGTATTACAAATTATGGATTTTAGAAATCCATTAAAAAGGGTCCTTAAAATGCTAATTTGTCAGAGCTTCCAGAAGATTCGCCCCACCCTCGCAGGGATCCCTAGGCAGTCGCCATAGGCGAAGATCCCGGGGGATGGGGGTTATATATCCCCCCCAATATTTGACAAGGGGGGATGGTCCATTGTATCATCCCCCCCCCAATATTTTGACTATGTATGGGATGAAATGGGGCTTTCACACTTCAAAAGACTGTCACAGAAATACTTTGCACTGTCTTATGCGCTTACAAAGATGAAAATTAGCATAATGTATTATTTTTGATAACAAAATTATTTTATCTGGTACCAATCTAAGCTTTTCTTTCCTTAGATGTTAGATGTGCTTGCAAAGAGAGCCACATTTCACATTGACGGGTGTGTACGACATCAGTAATGTTATGTCAATTCCAAGAATGTTTAAGGTTATATCGGTTGATGAGGAATTTATTGATTAGGCCTATAATAACAAATTTCATCAATTTATTTTGCAAAAACAAGGTTTCCAGCTTCAGAGGGGGCACATCCCCTGTCCGCACAAGGGCACACATTGGCGCTAACACCAGGCGCGTAACAAGGGTCTTCGGTCGGAGTGGGTATTTATTTTCCCAGTTAGTAATTTACCATACCCACCCCACCCCACTCCCCATATAGAAAACAATACGACATAGGGCTTATCTGATTTATAATATAGGCCACACACGTGTGTTTGAAACTAAATATAAGCATTTTCATCATGGTTTTATTTATTACAAACATAT